CCTCGCTTTGTTTGGTCCTGTAATCCTAATTAAACGAAAAAGATTGCGACTATTACCGATAGCCGCAGCCTTCTACATCTCTCTATTAGGATGAAAACTCCCGAGATAAGTTAAGTGATCGACGATTTCCAACTGGTCGCCCATGAGCGTGAGGATAGGTGTAGTCTCTTGCCAGTCTTGTAGTAAAACCTTAAATTTCGATGGTGAAAGGGCTATACCAAACTGCGTGACGGGCAATGCTAAATTACATAGGGCGTTTTGGGTGCTCTGGGAGAAGTAACAGATTCGGATGCTCTGCGGTTTTCTAGAGCGCTGCTAAGGATTTCGTCCACTGCGAAATTAAAGAGGAAGGGCAAAACCAGGCACTTTTGTCGCACTCCGCTTGTGATGGTAAACGAGTGGGAAGATGCGATCATAGACCTTGACGCGGCCTAATGNNCCTAATGTTTTTGAGTAGACTGATTTGAGAAGGTTTACACACTTTTCAGGCACATCGCTTCCTAACAGAGAAGTCCATAGAGCTGCTCTGTCAACTGAATGAAACGCAGCACGCATGTCCAAAAAGACAACCATGGTCGGTCTACTGAACGTTTAACGTTGCTCGAGAATCAGACGTAGCGTAAACACATGATCAAAGCAGCTCCGGCAGGAGCGGAATCCGGCTTGTTCTTCGTGGATGTGACGATTTCTCATCCAACGGAGCCTGAAAAGGATTATTAATGTTAACCTTGGATGCAACGGAGATAAGACTAGTCCCTCAGTAAGCGATGAAATGTCTGCAGACCATGGAACACTACATACACCTGGAGATGGTGATGATGATACCGATGGCGAACTGAATCGTTGATGGAAGTGCCCCACCCAGCGCCCAAGCCGATATTGTAAATCGTTAGTACATTCGCCGTTAGTTTCACTGACGCACGGTGTTTTTTGTTACCGACGGTTCGAATTAGTTTAAAAAGTTTGTGAGCATTACCGGAAACCGAGGCTAGTTCCATCTCGGAAGAGCGTGGTGCCCACCAGGTTTTTCGGTCCTTTTCTAGGAACCGTTTCAGTTCAACACTGAGAGTTTTGCGAAATGTGTTGTATTCATTACATGAAAGGATGTTTCGCCGAGTGTCATGAAGTCGAAGAGGATGTGCTGAAAACCAGTGAAGGTGAAGCCACAAGCCCCCAAGTGAGGTTTCGTCAACGTCTAACCTACCTACTCGCGCGTTCATGCCACCGGCTAGTATCACAAATGCCAGTGTATCGTCTACTATGGAGATTGGAGAGTTGATGGTAAAACTCGTCTTTTTCTGTCAGAACTGCAGTCCGTGGGCGCATAAGCAGCGATGACAAACAGACATCTTTTTGGTCCCATTACGAGATGGTCTTACCCATCCTTCTAGATCGATGGCGCAGGGTCGACTATGAATGGAAAACAGTCAAATAACCCTGATTCAGCACGTGAAATCAGTGCTATCCCTATGCCAGCTTGACCAGCGGCCTCCGCCATCGGATCTCCAGGGGGGTGGAGGGTGAACGAGCTTGTAAAATTAGGAGTCGTTGAAACGAGTTGCAGTACGGTACTCGAATATTGTAGGCGCGTCTCATTAATACCGTGACTTCTTCCAGTGTCTTGGGCAACACACTGTTGGAGACTCGAAATAATGGATGATGAACCGAAAATAGGAAAGATCACCAGTTGTAGAAAGGAAAGAATGCCATCTGTTGGTGCGGTAACGTGGTAATCTGTGCAGCCGGCCGCCAACACCTAGGTCAAAGAGTGCAAAGTTTGTGAGAGGAAAATTCGGAGATCTTTATAACGTGTTTGTGGGCATGTTACTTCCCGGTTGCTCTAACCGAAGAAGGGAGATAACTTTGGGGTCCCCACCCGAAGCCTTTGGTTAGAAAGCCAGACCTGAAAGACAGCAGGGCGAAGATCAGAGTCCGCAGTCCATGGAGGGCTGATGTCCAGTTAATCGGATTATACGCCTTTTGGACGGGGTCAAATCTTCAAGATGCCCAATACACCTCCATATCCATTCGAGCCAGTGACCAGTATCATGACCATAAAGGCGTGGGTGGTTAGTATACCTCTTCTTGGTTGGTTTGGAATCAGGGTCTTAGCCGACTTCCCTAGGTGAATTGCGAGTGGTTCACCGACCAGGGTGTAGCTCCAGATGTTGGCTTTTCGTCCTCTCACTTTGGTGGGAAAACAACTCGGCCACGAGAAGGCAGTGAATAGGGCTTCCTCAACAGAGGCTGTTTGAGACGCTTGGTCGTATGAGAGCGTTTCGTGAGGTACAAGGGAAGGATGACCAGCCGCAACCCTAGACACCCACCCCGACCATACTGAGGCTTTTTGGGGCAAGTGGTCAACTTGGAGGAAACGCATCGAAGACTAGGGCTTTTAGGGTACGATTAAACGCGTTAGGGTTAGCATGTTAAGAACATTTGTCGGAAGAGGTTAACTAAACGAGAATTAGACACTCTATGGAGGAATTGGCAGTATATCTACAAGAGACTAGTGCATTAAAGGCAAACAAATGTTCCAAACGAATGGGTACGAGTGAGGAAGCCTAGGGAGCACGAGGATGTGGTGTCAGATACCTGTAGAAGTGAATATCATCTGTGTGCAAAGAATGAACGTTTTATCTCCAATAATGTGTTGTATTTGGGTTGTTATACTACTCGGTCGCTCCGACCAATGAAAACCCCGTACAATTGTGCAATGGACGACCCACAGCGACCTACATGTCTATGTGAGACCGCATACATGTGTTCGCCGGTTTCGTCACTCAAAGTAATTGTGAGCTGGAATACGATGCCACATAGCATTGAATGGTTCGAAAGTTTTTCTTTTTATAAAGATTACTGTACCATGATTTATTTGGCACAATTTGGCGACAGAAGTGTG